GCCTTTCCTGGGGCTATTACCAATCGCGCAGGCCCTGGCCACACTCCCAGGGCGAGCGCCTCACGCCCGCCCTTATGCCAATTAGAAAGGCCAGTGCCATAACGGGGCCTCAACAGCCCTACGTCGGGGGGCAAGGAGCCCCAGTGATGCCCGGTGTAGGGGACATGCTGAGGGCAGAAGAGAGGTGCCGGGTGCACGACATGGGCTCCCAGCAGTGCTGCAGTAATTAGCAGCTGCCATAATTAGCGACCCACATGCAGGCTGGGGCAGAAGTTGCGCACCCCCCTCGGAGGCTGGGCGGTCAGAGCTGCACGGCATGGCACCCCCGCTAGGTAAAAGAGCCACCGGCCTGTCCCATGCAGGGACACTGCAGGGTGCTTAAAGGCAGCCAAGTCCCACACAAGAACAGCTGGCTTCTAGCCACTCACTCAGGGCTAGCACGTACCCAGGGCAAGACCCCTTTCTGTTGCTGCTAGGTCCCAAGATGAGCGTGGTGGAAGAGAGATGTCACAGGCACAGCCGTGGGACTCAGCCAGGAGCCTACCTCGTCACCCTTTCCGCCCTGCCTCGCTGTAAAACACCATCTGCTCTTCAGCCGTTTGGGTCCCCGCGTGGCACCGACCTCCATCCACTACGCCCAGACACTTGACAGCAGTTACACACCGTTATCCTCCCCGCGGCAGTCGCAAGCCCCCTCCCAGCAAGGCAACCAGCTCTGCTCTTGAATTCCTGGACTCAGAGGCAGCAAGCCATAAGTCAGGGGGAGGTCCCCCCCCAATATTGCAGGGGGGCCCAGGCAGTGCCCGCGAAGCTCAGTAGCCGTTAAACAAATTGCATCTCCTTTCAGCCCAGACTTTTCTACCAAGCAGCCAGCCAAGCTCCCATTTCCTCTGCTGCTTCACACGCAGCCATGACCTCACCCTCTGGGGAGCAAGGCCAGGCAGAGGAGAGACGCGATGGCAATAACCCTAGCTCCAGACGCCGGGTGCCCTGTCTGAATGTTTGACTGGCACTCGGGTTTCCCTCAGCACGGATACGGCTGCTGTTTAGGAGCCAGGCAGCATGAGCTGCTGTTTGTTTCCAGTGAGATTGCCTGTGGGGCTGATGGGCATGGGGACTGTGAGGAGCAGCAGAGACCCCATGAGGGAGAATGTGAAGGGAATCGGGAGCCTGATTTAATAGTGGCAAGGACATGGGGCGAGGAGAAGGATGGGATCAAATGGCAATGCCACCGCCTTGGGTGGGGTCGGGAGCAGCCAGCACGAGACAGCTTGGCATCTTGCAAAGGGTTCTGTCCTAGGATTCCAGCACCTGCAGGACACCTGGTGATTTTCCGGGCTGTGCAAGAGCCTCGGGGCTGAGGACACCGTGTCTACGCCCAGAGACGACCATGAACTTCGGCCCCAGCTACATACAGACACTGCCCTGGGGCCTTTCTCCATAAGCGAAAGCACCACAAACAGCAACTGCTTGAGTTGAATATTTTGAAGTCAGGTGGACCAGCTGCCTTGCACCCAGGAGTTGAATGAGAGGCTCTCGGGAACACTGCTATTCATTTTAACAATCCCTGGAACACTGGGAGCATTGCAGCGATTGGAAAATAGCGAATGCTGAGCCGGTATTAATATTAGCACGGTAACTACAGGCCACTTAGCCCGACATCAATCAGTAAAGGCTGGCAGCAGAATTCAGACCAACCAGCACGAGTTTATGGACAACAGGTATTGTCGAACAACCTTGCTATTGGATGCGCTGACAAGATCAGCTGATAAAAGCAATTGTATAACATCATGGATGTAAAATGACAGGCGTGTTAACAGCCAAATGGAGTTTGCGCTTAACGCTATTTTGGAAAGCACTGACTCTGAACAGGATTTGTTAATCCTGGTGTAAACAATCCGAACCAGACTTCATGGTATGGGGTGTGGTCTGAAAGCGAACATGAGCCTGGAATATGTAGGCAGGGGAGTATCAAGCAGGAGACAATGTTACCTGTGTCTGTGACCTCAACAAGACCATTACAGGAGATGGTGTTTGCACTTGGGAAGAAAACCAACCAGACAAGATCTTGATACATCAGAGAGGGCACAGACAATAGCTAGGAAACCAACCTTACAGGAGAGCGCGAAGAAGCTCAAGCTATTTAATTTATCCAAGAGAAGGTTCCAAAGTGACTTAATCAAGGCCTACACGTGAAGACCTCGGATAGTGAAGGTTTCTGCAGTCCTGCAGACAAAGGCAGAACAAGAGCCAATGATTGGGAGCTGGCGCTAGACAAAGTCAGACTTGCTGTTAAAAATGTCTATCTTCTGTCCAGAGTAACTCGTCACTGCAACAACTGATCCAGGGATATGGTGACTTCGCCCTCACATTATGTCTTTAAATTAAGATAGAACTTGGGTTTCAGAGAGACATGCCCCATTTCCACCACCGGGCTGGTTGCAGGACTCCCTGGGGGAGGGTGTCTCCTCTGTGCTTTGCAGGTGGTTAGGCTAGATCGTCTCATGACCTACGAATCGGTGCCACCTTTCTTGAGCACAACTGCTTCGACTGGCAGAGAAGCTTTCCCCATTTTTCAGGCCAGTGGTTATCAGGATACTTCAGTTTACCAATGTTTTTCCAGGCCATCTGCGTCAGGAGAGCGCTCTCAGCGAGATCCGTGGCTTTCACCTGGGCACAAATAGTCAATGCCATGAGCAGAGCAGCCTCCTGACATCTCTGCCCTCCATTGCAGAGGGGCGGCCATGTCAGGTGCTGCACATGGTACCGAGGTTCTTCCGAGTCCCATTATCCCTCAGCGTCTCCTTCCCTTCTGTGCCACTGACCTGCAAGCCAAAAACTGACGCGTGCCAAGGGAGAACAATGAAATATCAAAAGGTGTATTTGGAAATGAATGCACAAAATTGTGGCTCATCATTTGTCCAGGTAATTGCTGCCTATCCAAATGAGCCGTTAGACATCTAGCAGGGTAGTTGCATGCACAAATTGTGTGCGCACAAGTGTGCTTTCAAGTTGGAAATTCCAGCACTCGTGCACAGCAGCCTCACGGGGCAGTCATGAAATCAGCTGGCAGCATCATTATGAAGGTTCAGAACAATGTGGAAGGGTCCCTGAAACCCTCACCTGTTTTACTTCACGAGCGTTTACATCCTGGCATCTCTCAGTGACTCCCTGGCTTCCAGTGACCCAACCACACAGTCCAAATCGTCCCGCGTCAGACAGCTACCATAGGCCTTTTCGAAGTCGAAGCGCCGAACTCACCCGAGTGACCTGGTCATCATTTAGCACGAAACCCAGAAAAGCCGGGGCTGGTTGCAAGCTTTATACTTGGAGGGTGAAGCTGTATTAGAAAGTCTGCCTCCACTGTTAGGATTCGGACACAGACTTTCAGACCCTCGAATAGAGGTAAATTGCACAAGCTACGGCAGCAGGTTTGGATTTTGTCTCGTCCTTCGATTCCCTCCACTGCCTCTGCTTGGGGGCGGTGGGCTCTGTTCTTCACAGCCTGGCCGGGGACAGAGAGCAAGAGGCACACGCTGAGGCAAGACGGGGCCTTCTTCTGATTAGCACCGTCTACTGCAGCAGGCTCGGCGACATGAGGGTAGCGCCTCACACGGCAGAGTCCAGTCCTAATGCAGCCCTTGTGGGACGTGGTGCTCTCTCTCTGAGAGGAAAAGCAACTTTCCAGGCCAACCCTGACAAAATTCTCCGGAGCAGTTTTCAGGGTGTGTTCCCTCTTTCTTCACCCGGTGCTGGAGTAGTGGTGGGTACTCCGTGGGAAGACGCTCCACCCTCGAGGGAGGAGCACCCACCAGCAAAGGAGGGAGAAGCCAGCCTTTTACTAGCTTCTCCAGAGTTCCTCAAGCTTGCAGTCACCTGTACGTGCTACAAGTCAGTTCTGGGCCGGGTGAAAATGATGCCGCCTCCTTGCTCAGCAGATCTGCCCTCTCTGCAGAGCCCGGCTGTAGTCGCTGAACAGGGTGTCCCACTGTCAGTCCCGTGTGCCCTGTGGAGCTAACGGAATCCCTGCCCCCTTGGGCAGCAGGAAAGGGGGTGCGGATGGAGTGCCAGGGAGTTACCGCTCTGCAAACCGACCCAAGACGGTGGGCTTGGCCTGTGGCTACAAGGACAGCAGCACATGTGTGGTGAGCGACAACGGACCCTGCCCGCTGGCAGGGCGTAGAGTAAAACAGCGAGGGGTCGACTGGCAGATGGATTTGGGCCTAAGCTTTGGTGGGTAGAACCCCTTCGTCAGATGCAGCCGACCCACAAAAGCGTCGGCCCAGATCAATCAGTCTCTCTGGTGGTTTTTGCAGCATTGGGCTCTCGGGGGGCCCCCCCCCAAGACCTGAGCTCAACATGAGATGGCAGAGCCTCTGTGCTGGTCAGCGGAGCCTGTTTGCAGGCATTCGGCCGATCAGACGAGGTTCCGCAGCGTGGCGGGAGCCTGCGGCAGGGCACGGTGTCGGCAGTCACCCCGAAGGCTGGCATGACGGGCACCGGGCGGGTCAGCCAGTGCAAAGGGGGCCTCTGCGGTGGTAGAGGCCTTGCTGCTCTCCTTTCCTCTGCTGGGAGGGGCATGGCCGAAGGCAAGGGAGCAAGGCACCACCCCGATGCCTCTTGCTTGGGTCAGCGCTGCCGTCAGGAGGCACGGGCTCTGCAGGGGCCCTTGTGGCACACGGTGGCGGCGGGAAGAGGGGAGCGAGCACAAGATGACCTGTAAGGCGCCGCTCCAACTCAGGGTGCGCAGGTTGGGCACCGGCACAGCTCCGCCCCCCGAGGGAGTGCCGCCTTTGGCCCTTGGGTAAATCAGCCGTGCCACAGGGCTCCACTGGAAACAGATGCACGCTGTAATGCGGGGTCTGCCACAACTGGGGGGGGCGGGTGTTTAGCTCTTGGCCACATTGGCTGAGACCCAGGCTGGGGGCTTGGTGGGAGCTGAGGTGTGGGGGGAGGGCGTTCCAGCTCACGTCTCACTTCTCCTCGCTTTGTCTTTTCAGATGCGCTGGCTCCCTCCCTCCGAGGCTGCTACTCAGGGCTGGAAGTCCCGTCAGTTCTGCTGAACGCTGTGTGAGTGTCTGGCGCGGGCAGCGCTCCTGGCCCCAGTCCCCACAGGGAAGGCATGTCCTGCCACAGTAGCCTTTGTGCCGCTGCTCCTGGCAGTGCTGCAAGGTCCCAGGCATGGGAGGAGCTGTACAAGGAGCACCCGCAGCTGTGGGTGGGCGCTGGAGACCATGGCGGGGGTGTGCGGAGGGCTGGGGGAATAGCTCTGGCTTGCACTTTCCTCACGTCCAATGTGTGGCTCATGGTAGCACCATGGTCCCTGTGCCCCATGCGCAGCTGGGACCCCCGGTCACATTCCTGTTGGCACCTGCCTGCTCCACCTGGCAGGAGGCTGTGGGGAGGTACAGAGAGGGCTGTGCATGGGCAGGGGCTTGCAGTGCTCAACACTTCTGTTATGAGGTGTCCCTTGTGGGGTCTGTTCACCCCGCGTGCCCACCGCAGGCCCTGCCCTGTTGAGGGGCACCCTACATGCTGCTGCCCTGGTCAATGGCTGACATATTTGGGCAGCCCTTCATGTAGTTTTCCAGCCCGGGGGGGAGGGAATGACAGGAGAAGAGATTTTCCCTGCCAATGGCCCCAGCATCCAAGGCAGCCTACCTGAGATACCAGTACCCATTTCAGCAATACTGCACCATAGTGTGCTGGAAAATGGCTCCCCTCTCCCCACACCTCCACTGCTAAGGAAGCACGGCGCACATTTCATTGAGAGAGACAGCCACCGTGAACGCTCTGGGGGGATACAGCCCAGACTCATGCAGAGTCGCATAAATCTTCCGGAGCGGCTCTAGTGGGATGGAGACCACCAACGCCACCCTGCTGAAGATCCTTGCATGAGCACACAGCGATCTCTGCTTGTGACACCAGCGAGACCAGGGCTGCTTACGGTGTCCAAAGGCTGCTGACAAATTGGAGAGGGTTCACAGAAGAGCCCCAGGACTGATGTACCGTCAGCGAGATACTGAAACAGCTCAGGCGTGTGCGCGCATTCCCGAGGAGGCGGAGGAGTACCTGCTCGGGGAGGCACCTGCTGAGAGCTGGGGGCTCTAACCTTAAGGCAGAACGAGAATCTGAAGCTTGGCAGCTCGGACTAGAAGGAAGGCGCAAGTGTTGAACAGCGACGGGGATTGCCTGCTGTAACAAACCACCGAGGGGCAGGCGGATTCTCCATCACTTGACGTCTGGCTGCTCTCCTAAAATACGTGCTCTGGTGCAAACAGAGAGGTGGTCAGGCTAGGAGACCATTTCAAAATCTCTGACTCTACGTCTGCAAAGGAAGCCAGGAGGCTCCATTGTCCCTGAAATGCCTGGATCCTTCCTTCCCCTTTACATCATCCCTGACCAAAGACAACCAGCGTGTCTTATTAAAAGTTAATGAAAACTCTCTCGGAGCCGATCAGACCAGTGCCCACAAATGAAAACCACATGTGGTTCCTTGAGCACAGGGGGGACTTGATTTTCTTATACCAGCGTTGTCTTTTGATGCTGTCAGGCTTGGAAGAGCAGTCAGAGTCTGCAAATATTGCAGCCAGTGGTGGGTAAATAAACGGTGGAAATTAAAACCGAGAAGGGAGACTACCAGGCCAGTAGTAATTGCTGATGCCTCTACCCAGCTGTTCCCAGGTTTCAGCCTCTTTCACAGCACGTCAGACTTGATTTTCTTATACCAGCGTTGTCTTTTGATGCTGTCAGGCTTGGAAGAGCAGTCAGAGTCTGCAAATATTGCAGCCAGTGGTGGGTAAATAAACGGTGGAAATTAAAACCGAGAAGGGAGACTACCAGGCCAGTAGTAATTGCTGATGCCTCTACCCAGCTGTTCCCAGGTTTCAGCCTCTTTCACAGCACGTCAGCCTAAGATCCTAGCAAGTCAGCTCAGATCGAAGGGTTCAGC